CTCATACCACGGTGTGCGCCGGCTCGTCGAGCTGCACCCGTTGCGCTGCCGCCTGTGGCGCAGGAGCGTTTTGTATATTACCATCCACCGCTGCCTGTTTTGTGTAGATTTGGTATACGCGAATAGTAATCTTTTTGACCTTCGAACTGCGCCCACGCGACCCTCCGGAATCATTTGTGTGAGATACTTGAATTGTCTGTGATATACTGCCTCAACATTGAACTAAACATCTCACAAATGTCTGCTTAAATGCTGTTCAGATGGTTGATGTCCCCAGAGCATCTTTTGATTTGACACTTTTTATTTTTGAGACATTTTGGCAAGCATCTCATGATGGCCGGAGCAGTACCCATAAACATCAACTACCGACCATCCACCAAACATTTTTTTCGAACGGCGGTGTAACTGGGGGCGGCCGACTAACCCCTCACCGATAGTATAGGACTGGGCCTGTGGGTCTGTAGCTAGTTGGTTTGATTTTCAACTACAAAGCTTTGAAGCCAACTTGGGATCTCGCAGAGTGTGTCTTAGTCTAAGATTGGGGATGCAGAGCAAGCACCTGATGGCACAAGGTGTGCGTCTGTTATTCTTGTGTTGTTACTGGCAAGCTACGTAGAAGACCTCTGTTCGATTCGGGGTCGGGTGATGCATTCTTCTGCCGTTTTTTTGTTTCTTACTCTCCCTCTGCTTCCTCCCTCCTTTTTGAGATTCTAAAGTGTTGATTCAATTCTGGTGTCTATTACTTCGGAGCACCATTAAGGAGTCCCTTCGATATGTGGGCAGTCCACTAGATGAAGTTAAAATTTGATCATAGTTTGAGTTCAACCATTCCTGAGAAGACCCTGTTAGTCTGAGAATGGGGCTGCAAAAGGGAGCACCTGATGGCACAAAGTGTACGTCTGCTATTCTTATGTTGGTGGAAAGTTACGCAGAAGACCCCTGTTCGATTTGGGGTCGGGTAGTGATTGGGTTTCTTAGCTTTTTCTTAACTTTTCCCTAAGTCTCTTAGACTCGATTTTGAGGACGCAGAAAATCGGTGAATCAATTAATTCTGGTATTTACGACAGCTCGGAACAAGGTTAGGAATGCTTGAGCAGTATGTAAGCATTTTGAGTCGAATTGAAGTTCAACAACTAACTGATGAAGAATTGCAGTTCACTCCTGAGGGAGTACTAGTTAGTCTGAGAATGGGATGCAAAGGGAGTACCCGATGGCACAAGGTGTGTGTCTGCTATTCTTGCATTGCTTGTGGACAGCTACGCAGAAGACCCCCGTTCGATTTGGGGTGATTTAGTTTTGGGATTCTTTTTTTCCCTTCTTTTCCGTTCGTCTCTTGGGCTCGGTTTTCAGGACGCAAAATACTTGCTTCAGTATTTACGACAGCTCGAAACGAGGTTAGGAATGCTTGAACAGGTTGTGGGCATTTTGAGTTGAATCGAAGTTCAACTTCAAAATTTGGTCGTGCTTCAAGATTCACTCAGGACTGCACCACATAAGTTGAGATTGGGGGCACAGAACATGCACCTGGTGGCACAAGGTGTGCGCCTGCTACTCTTGGGGACAATCATTTGCAGTTTATGCAGAAGGTTCCCTGTTCGATTTGGTGTCGGGTGGTTTGCCCTCTAGTTCGTCTTTTTTTAAGTTTCCCTCACTCTCTTCTGGTTTCGTTGGAGATTGGCCCACTCGCGCTGGGAGTTCAAACTCGATGTCTGATATACTTGGTACTTGGAACCAGCTACGAGATGGGTCAGTGGATTTGTGGGTGGGTTTTATTTTATTTTATTGTTGAAGGTCAAATTGACGTGAGCAACCTGGGATCAGCCACAAGTGTCTCCGTTAATCTAATATTGGGAGTGTAGAACATGCACCCGATGGCACAAGGTGTGCATCTGCTATTATTGGGGACAATCATTTGCAGTTTATGCAGAAGGGCCCCGTTCGATTCGGGGTCGGGTGGTACACTTCGGTGGCCATAGCCTTTTTTTTCTTTTTCAGTTTCCCTTCCTCGGTTTCTCTTTTGCTCTCACTGGGAACTCGCTTTCGCTGGCAATTTAAATCCAATGATTCTAAATAATAGAGGAGCCAAGAGCCTAGAAGCGAGTTGTGGATTTGGATTTGTGGCCGGAGTTGATTTGAATTTTTCAACTTCAAGATCTCATGGATGTCTTAATCTGAGATTGGGGAGTGCAGGCCATGCACCGGTGGTACAAGGTGTGCGTCTGCAGTATATGTAGTTGATCCAGCTATGTTATGCAGAAGGTCCCTGTTCGATTCAGGGTCGGGTGATAGTCCAAGAGTTCTTTTTTTTTTTTTTCCCTCCCTCTATTTCCTTCCTGCTTTCCGGTCCTAGAGCGGGATTCAGTTCTGGCGTTTATAATTATTACAGCTAAGAACGGGGTTAAGAATGCTTGAGCATTTTCAGTTCAATTGAAGTTCAACTGATGAAGAACTGAGGTTCACTCCTGAGGGAGTACTAGTTAGTCTGAGATTGGGGATGTAGAGCATGCACCTGATGGCACAAGGTGTGCATCTGCGAGTCTTAGATGACAGCTAAGCGCAAAACGATAGACACAAATCATTTGCGAGCAAAGTTCGGGCCGAGCACAGCCTCACCACTGATGACGCTTGGCTCCACCATCCACAGCACCTCGACTACTAATACTTTACTACTGCCATGATTGAAGGCTGGGTCGAAAGCCATCCAGGTTAAATATATATGTATGTGCCCACTCACATTGCAAAGAAATATACAGTTGTCATAAAAGCTTATTTTGTGGGACTCGTCGAGATGGCTGAAATTAGGATTTGTTGCCAGGGCTATGCTCGGCCCGAACTTTGCTCGCAAATGATTTGTGTCTATCATTTTTCGCTTAGCTGGCTAGGCAGAAGATCTTCGTTCGATTCGGGGTCGAGTGATGCTGTGATGCTGTAATCTGGTCATTTTTTCTTAACTTTTTCCCTGAGTCTCTTGGCTAGCTTTCAGGACGCAAAATCGGCGACTTCCTTAAGCATTTAGTACAGCTAAGAACGAGGATAATGCTTGGACAGTGTGTGTGAGCATTTTCAGTTCAATCGAAGTTCAACAACTGATGAAGAATTGTGGTTCACTCCTGAGGGAGTGCTAATTATGGCGGTCCGTTTGCACTTTTAATAATCCTGCATATTTTCTGGCTTTTCCTGTGTTTTTTTCAGACCTTTTCACTTACTCGCAAACTTTTGTTGAAAACATACAAACTTTTATTCTCACCAACTCTTTTTTTTTGGTTACTTGAACAAGAACACTTTTTTTTTTACGCAACTGCAAGCCATTGTTTTGTTTTGGGGCGATCAGAGTCATCTGGAGACCATGTGACCGGGTGCCCATTTGGGATATCTTCAGTCATACAGCCCAGCACTGTCAGAATCAAAGGCAGAAAGGGACTAGGAGGTGTGCCATAGCATTTGCTTTGATATTGATAGCCATAAATTGTCAGTAGCGATACAAATAGCAGTGTAGAGCTGGGTAGAGCCATCTTGGAGTCATCAGAGCCTTTAATTCAGATGTTTTCATGCTCTGGGGATATTCCATGATACAGGGCCTCATCAGTGAGACTCAAGAAGGAGTATGAACTGATTGGAAGTGCATCTGAGGATATCCTGAGCTCATATGTGGTACAAAAGCTCTGATAACACATAGAAGTTGTGTTATTTGCTAGTATATCTTGATCCCAAATGGATGTGTCTGGTCACATGATCTACCATGCCGTATGCAACCAAAATAAAACATTTTTTTGACAAGGGTAGCAATAAGTTAGGGAGACAAGGGAAATGTATTTATGGCATCCAAGAAAATTTTTATCACTAAAGTCTGAGAAAAAACACAGGACAGTGAAAAGGACTGAAAAAACACTGGAAAAGCCAGAAAATATGCTGGATGAATAAAAGTGCAAATGGACTGCCATAGCTAATTAGTCTGAGATTGGGGATGTAGAGTAAGTACCTGATGGCACAAGGTGTTCTTGGGCTCAGTTTTCAGGACGCAAAATACTTGCTTCAGTATTTATGACAGCTCGGCACTGCTGGAAGATTTCGAGTTTTTGAGTGAAAAAATTGGTGAAAATTAGTTTGGGTTTTACACAAGTTTTTCGGCAAAAATATAGGTGAAAAACTCAAGAGTTTTTCAGCAGTTTTCCATTTTATTTCAAAAATTTCACCTAAAGTTGGAAAACTTTTAAAAATTGATTCAAATTTTTACCTACATTTTTGGCAAAAAACATCTGTAAAACTCAAAACATTTTTCATGAATTTTGTCATTCAAAAACTTGAAATCTTCCACCAGTGCGGAACGATGTTAAGAAGACTTGAACAGGGTGTGAGCATTTTTTTCAGTGCGGCCAAAAGCTCAACTTAACTTTGAGGAAGCCAATTCAAGTGCTCACAAGTGCACCAGGTAGCTCGAGATTGGGGGTGCAGAGCATGCACCCGGTGGCACAAGGTGTGCATCTGCTATTCTTGTGTTGTCACTGCGAAACTATGCAGAAGTCCCCCGTTCGATTCGGGGTCGGGTGATTCATTTCTGCTTGGGTTTTTTTTCCCAGACTTTTCAAGTTTATTCCCTTTGACCTCAAATTTTACACAGATAAACTACAAGTGGGGAGTGCAGAGCATGCACCCGGTGGCACGAGGTGTGCATCTGCTATGCCTTGGGAGACTAATTGTGTTTATGCAGAAGATCCTCGTTCCATTCGGGGTCGGGTGATCCGCGTCAATTGCCGCACCTTTTTTTTATTTTTTTATAGTTTCCCTTCCTCGGTTTCTCTTTTGCTTCCACTTGGAACTCACTGGCGATTTAAATCCAACGATTCTGATATATTTGGGACGAGAGAAGAGGCTAGTACTGGGCCTGTGGATTTGTGGCTGGCCGGGGAGTTTATTTTATTTTATTTTATTGTTGGAAGGTCAAATTGACTTGAGCAGCCACAGGTGTCTCTTTTACTCTAATATTGGGAGTGTAGAGCAAGCACCCGGTGGCACAAGGTGTGCGTCTGCTATTCTTGGGGACGACCATTCGCAGTTTATGCAGAAGGGCCCCGTTCGATTCGGGGTCGGGTGATGTTTGTCTTTAGACTTCTTTTTTCCCCTCACTGACTCAAATTTCGTTGTGATATGTATGGGGGGAGCGTACACGATTACAAGCGTGGGCGGTACATTAACAGGTGTACATAGGTAGGTAGGCAGGGATGTACATGGTAGGATGAGTTCCGAGGCTATACTCCCGTCGATACTTAATAATCTAAGTTCTAGCAGAGACCAGGTCATATGAAGCAGAGCAATGCGGCGCCAGTTTGTCGGAGGGCCATCAGATAAGCTGATAGATGTACTGCGGTGTAAGAGGCCGTAGCAACAGCGATAATTAATTGGATGGTCAGACGCGTATGACTTGGGGAGTTGAATTAACGAGGCAGCCTGGGGGACACGAGAGGAATTAAGACGCCCGCGGATAGACGTTCATTAGTCTGGTAGCTGGGTGGGCTCGTTATAAACGACTCCGGGATATGATCGAGGAGACGAGTTGGATTGGTGTCAGAGAAAAGGTCGGCCCAGCCGGGAGCGTATAACCTGCAGCCGGGAGCGTATAACCTGGAAGTACTTGAATTAACGTGGGCAAAGTCAAGGCAAGAATCAAGACAGAGGCAAATGGTAGAAATGGATATCAGGCAGCCGACCAGTGACGCCAGCGGCTCGGGCGATATCCACAGGCTGATGGACCACAGCGGAATAAGCAAAGGTGGTTTGCTTCATTAGGACCGGATGCGGGATTTCCCCTCGGGAGAGCAAACAGCGAGCAGTGGCGACACCGGCAGATGGTTGATGAGACCAGCGAAATCTAGGGCGCCCGATGAGGCCAGAGCGGTTGGAGGAACATGGGCGTCGTCGGTTTCTCTCACAGTTGGATCTGGTCGACACGTTGGAGGATCTGGATGCCTTGACTTACATTTCAGAGTTGATTCCTGGGTAATTCTAGTTTACTAAGTTGTCCGTATCCACTGTCCTCGATCAGGAGTTTCAAATGTCCGGGGCCTGTCCTGATGTGATATTGCCCGGTGGCTTCATCTGCTTCGAAGACCCGACTTTGGTTGCGGCTCCAGAATATCGGATAGCGGCTACATACCTAAAGTTGATGGTACAGTATGCGACCAACTCGTAGACCTGGACTATATGCTCCAAAATGATCTCCACTCTCGTCAAGATCTAGATCAACCGTGGACACAGCACCCACTAAGCTCATATGCCAGAAGGATCTCAGAATCTTGGGACACGAGTCTAGCAATTGCATACAATTGATTAGAATCGAACATCCTTTTTGGTTTAAATACATATCTAAGGCGAGCGATCGTATTATATCCTAGGCGAAGAAAAAATACAATTCAGTTGCGGAAAGTACAAGACTAATCTAGAGATCCTTCTCGTTCACGTAACGATCCACCGCCGCCTCGTGTAAAGCGATAATCGAGCGGCGCAGGCTGTTCATATCACATTATAATCTAGTCTGTGTTTTCGGGACAAGGTTGAAAAACATACCTAATCTGCTGATAGTAGTAGTCCCGCAGCTCCTTGGAACTGGCCATGCGATGGCGCTTGTGCAGAAAAGTGAGTAGCACACAGGTGGTGGCCATCGCTGTTAATTTTTTAAAAAAGAATCAATCAGGTTATGAACATTTCGAGTTGAAATGAACTTGAACTAACCTCCAACCATAGCAGTAGCCGTCAAGGCACATTGCCATGGTGCGATGCGGTTTGGTGTCTCGGGTGGATTCGCGCAAATGCCCGCAGCACAGTTCAACTACGCGAAAATCAACCACAGGTAGAATTAACGCAAAAGAGAAACATACCGAGGCACATTGCTGGTCGGCCTGACAGGGGGCCTTGATCCGGAGGGTACGCTGGCAGACGAGCTGACCTGGATCGCAGTAGAACTTTGGCGACTGGCAATTATCTCGGGTAACGGTGTTGGTGACCTGTTGCCCGCTAGGACCAATGTCGATGTACGTAGTGATGTCAGTGATACAACGCTAGCCTAAGGTCACATTGGCGTGCCTAAACAAAGTATTAAATCCCTGGGAGCTTCGCAGAGTAATAAGATACCAACATGCATATGGAGTGAAGACATATTGACCCGTTGAAATTCTGCGTGCTAGCTAGGTCCTCCCAGTCCGGCGGTGGGGCGCACTGCTCGTCGCGGTTCAGTTCGCATGGGTGCCCGGCTGGAACAAGCGGCCGACACCCGCTGCCTTCGTCTGGACAGAATGTTCCGCGGGGGCAGAGTGGCGGAAGGACCTCGCTAGCGGAGAACCCAAACGGAAATTCGTCACGTCGGCACTGGCGCGGAATCCAGGTGGAGTTGGCGATGTTGGTGCCAGAGCAGAAGGTCTGATCAGAACAGTCCGAGATGAATTTCTTCGACGCTGGATCAAGGTGGTTGTTGTTTGACGAGCATCGGCCGGTGGTAGCGTCTGCAGCCGAGGCAAAAACGAGAGTGGGGATCGTCAGGGCGAGGACGAGTAGAATAGTACGCATGGGAGAGAAAGGAAGGATAAGGAACAGGTCAGCCACTTTCACTTGAAGCTGCAGGGTGCAAAAGACTTGTACGTAGTGCGCGACTCAGAGTTGTCAGCCACATCCAGCCTGGCGGGTTTCGATCCAACGAAGTAGGCTCCGTGAGGAAAATTGTCTGTAAAATAAGTTCCTTGTCCGAAATTGATCGAGTTGAAGAAAGCGGGAACCAGTCTAGTGGCCGGTGCAAATATCTCCCTTCCTCCGCTACATATTGCTTGCTCGGCGCGCAGATGCATACCCGACTGGAAGCCGTAAACCAAGGAAACCACAAGATAAATACAAGGGAATCCCAGGACTTGTATGGGTAGCGCGAAGAGCAGGCGGGTTACACGTGTGGCGTGGTCCTTAAACCACATTGCAGCAGCAAGTCAAGCGAATTGAGACCCAGGCCCTTCTGCCTCACTGCTTGCCTCCTGCGCTCATGGCGTCCACAGCCCGCGTCCGCCGCAAGCCCGCCCCCGCCGTCGACGTCGACGACGCCACTCTCCTCGCCGCCGTCGGCGACGGCGAGCGCATCGCGGCGCTGCTGCCGCGCCACTCGTTCACGCTCTACGCCGCACCGCCGCTTGACCCCGCGCCCACCGCGTACTCGCCCGCCCCATCTCTGACATCGAGCACGCAGCCCCACTACATCCGCCGCCGTGCGCAGTCCTCCGCCCCGCCGATGCCCGCGACTTCGCCGCCCACGCCGACGCGCACGCGCCTCGCGCGCCTCCTCCTCCCGCACCATGCCCACCCCCCGCCCTCGCCCACGCGCGAGCGCGTAAGAAAACATACGATCTCCGCGCCCGCGCCCGCCGTGTTCCCGCCTGCGCTCCTCCCGCCGGGCCTCGCGGCGCTGTCGTTACCGCCGGGGCGGCCCGTGGCGCTGCGGCCCCTCCGCATGGAAGTGGAGGCGCCGCCGCCCATGGAGAGTTGCTCGAGCGCCTCGTCGCGCGCGTCGGGCGGGACGGACGCGACGTCCCCGCCTGTGTCGCCTTCCTCGCCCCGCGGGAAGCTCCTCAAGCCTGCGCCTTCTTCCAACAACAAGGGCGCAGCAGCCGCAGCTTCGCCGGCTCGCGGGCGCTGTGTGCATCCAATTCTACTGCTCCTGTCCCCAGCTACGATTTCTGAGCGCGGCTCTACGCAGACGTCTGTTCAAAGCTCGTAGACGAACTTATTCATCTCAGATTCACTGCTATTTCGACCTTGAACTCGACCGCCTCTCGCCCCGCCTCCGCTACCGATGTGGCCAACAGCCCTGCCACTTACTGTGAAGTTCTACCCCCGTCTCGACGTCTATTTCTTCCCCGCCCACCGACTCTATTTCCCGCCCCCGACATATATCGATTTGGTCCCCCGCGGAGGTGAGTCCTCACTCACTGGTCCGCGGCTTAATCACCATATATTCTCAGACTTCATCAAGTGCCGTTCCCGTAATCAAAAGGGTTTCGAACCAACTGTCAGGTGCGGTGCACCCCTCGGGATCCAGCGGTGTTTATGCGGGAAAGAGATCAGCCCGATTCGCCTCTTTTATCCCCCCTGTTGAGCAGCTCCTGGTTAATTTGAATGTGCACAGATTTTGAAAGACGAGACGGCAGCTGCTCTCGTGCGCGCGCAGTCTTCATGAGATCGCCTACCGCCGACGGCAGTAGCGCCACAGATTCTGCACAGGTTGAATCTCAGTCTCCGCGTACAGGGTCAACCACAGCTTGATGAGCCCCCTGGATCTTGAGTTCCATTGCACAAGCGGTATCTACTCTGTGGAATAATTCATTCGTTAACTCCGTCGGCACTCATCCAGCATTGAAAATGACTGATGCTCGGATTATTGCCGTTCCTGTCCAAGCATTCCAAGGAGTACACTCTAAGCCTGTCTGACCGACCACACGCTCTCATACTTTTCGTATAGCTTCAAGCAGGCCTCCAGAAAAATTTTCGACTGGGATTTCGTAGTCCACTAATATCGTCATCGGGTTCAACTTGACCGGAAGGTCAGCCTTAGCGTTGACTCTTTTTAGGCCTGGATTCTATAATTTCTGTAAGCATTCGTCAATCAATATGCAAGCATGAGCCGCTCGCGAAGCACGAACGACGTATGATATCCGCGGACAATAACTCCTCCGAGTCGGTGCCTGAGCATATATTAATACAACACGAAATGTTATTGGTATCGATTAAATTACTGATGGCCATGAGCTCAGTTCGTTGCAAGCGAGGGTGGGATTCTGATTGAGGTCTTCCCGGAGAGCAGCCGCAGCGTCCTCGAGGGAAAACTTCAGCTCTAATATTATACTTGTCATGGGTCAGTGTACAATCGGGTTCTGACAACAAGACTTACCGAAGCAAGCGATGGCTGAAACGCATTAAACAATCAAGTCTTCGCGTTTGAGCCGAGGATTGAGCGTATACTTTTGCCAGGTGGATTCGACTGCTTGTGTTTCAAGCCCCATTTCTTGTGAAGAATTGCTCCTCATGGACCAGACTACTTATATGTCCGGGAACACACGGGGTAGGAATACAATACTGGTTGCGTAGAATCAACTTATTTTTCAAGAAAACAACACCTTCTACACGCAGCAACAAGAGAGCCGGCAAGGGCCATTCAGACCTTTTTGGGGTTGGACGCTTAATACAATTGGCAAGATGACTCAATATCAAGAGGAACACCTGCGATCGGCATCAATCAGAAGTTCCCACGGTTTAAAAACGGTTCGACGCCAAACAAATAATGTGGCCACTGCAAACCGCGCCGATAGAGTCATTTCCACAACAAACGGATATATAACTTATTCGCCGCCGTCTCCATGACATCCGTCCCTCCCGAATGTTATACTTACGCAACATTGTTCTTCTGAAGTTGAATTGGCGAGGCCAAGTTGTTCTGAAAATGTGTCCCAAAATTTTACTTGTTGTACTGGTCATCTATTTTTTTTACCTATATGGGAGGCATATCTAGGGCACTAACGACGTCCGCTATGGCAAATATACACAACGAGCCCACGAATCTGGGGGGCAGAACCACAGCATGGCCATCGGTTAGGGGCATCGAGTTGAATCACCTGAGCTGCGGAAGCTCGAGCAGAAGCAGATGCGGTCGAGATGCACTGTTTCGGCCTACATTCGGTCGAATTAGCCATTTTTATATGATTGACGCTGTCTTTCGATGACGCAGATAGGCCGTATCCTGCATGTGTGCTCCGTGCGGCCAGGAGCTCTCGACCGAGGAAGAATAGCAAATCAATGAATAACTTAACTTGAGCATTTGTTGGGGCGTTTGGCGTTTCATTGCCGCGTAGCTCGAGCTACGGCCTGGGATGAGGCTAAGTAATCAGATCTTAAGGGAAAGAAGGAGGATCACAAAGTCTAAAATCAGAGACAGGCGCGTCCGCGTCCGAGTTCAAGCCTCCTCTTAAAGTTGTGCCGATCCAGGAAATCACGGTCAAGTTCACGGAGGACTCGTATTCCTGGTTCATCTGTGCGACATTCTCCGAGATAGAGTGCCGTTGTGGCCAAGCAAAGCAGGCGCAGAGGCCGCGGCGATCCCGACGGCCTCGGTGCGGGCCCAATGCAACTTGGGAAGTTCGACGCACGTTGAGATCGGGGCCAAGCTTGAAAGCTTCAAGCTTCAAGTTCAATGCAGTCGAAACTCGAGAAGACTGTATGTGCAAGTGGGTTGGGAGTCCGTGGTCTGCGGTCAAGAGATAGATGCCGCGTACCATGCCGCGTTCGGATCAACGCCCGGTTCCGGTTCAACTCTTGCTTCCATTTAAACCACAACTCACTGTGACATGCCGAGCCCCATGTCTAAGAAGACTTAGTGCTCAGCGGCTTCGACGTATTCGTGGTTCGGAAGACATTTCATTTCAAGTTCACGAGTGCATTCCAACTTGAATTTTCCTCGGCCCCGCCGCCATCAAGCCGCCATGCCGAAATTTAGATTTAAGTCGACTCGGTCGGGCTATTGTTCTGTGCATGTAGCTCATAATTTGCTTTACAAAGAATGCACCTGATGGCACAAGGTGTGTGTCTGCATGCCTTTTGAATTGAGAAACCTTGGATTTCTGCAGAAGGCCCGTTCGATTCGGGTGATCTTGAAGACATCTTTTTTCTTTTTCACTCTCCCTCGATTTTTCTTTTGCTTTAACCAGTTCACCTCACTCTCGCTGGGAATTCAATTCAATGATTCTAGTATATTTGGGACGACATAAGAGCCTACTGGAAGTTTACTTATTTTATTATCAAGTTCAAGGTCAAATTGATGTGAGCAACTCGGGAATAGCCACAGATGTCTCTGTTAGTCCGAGATTGAGGTATATAGAAAGCACCCGATAGCACAAGGTGTGCATCTGCAGGATGTTGAGAGTTGGTGAATAATTTATGCAGAAGGGTCCCGTTCGATTCGGGGTCGGGTGATATGTTCGTAATGTCCTTTTTTTTCGTGTTCACCTTTCCATTCGTCTCTTGGGCTTGGTTTTAAGGACGCAAATCGGCGACTCCCTTACTCGGAACGAGGTCAAATATGCTTCAACAATGTGTGGGCATTTTCAGTTTAATCGAAGTTCAACTTGACTTTGATGAAGCCAACTTGAGTGCTCAGAAGTGCACCAGGTAGTCCGAGATTGGGGCCACAGCGCATGTACCTGATGGCGCAAGGTGTGCATCTGCGAGTTGCAAATGAACTACAGTATAAGGCTAGGCAGAAGATTCTCGTTCGATTCGGGGTTGGGCAATTTAGCTTCGGGATTGTTTTTCTTCTTTTCCGTTCGTCTCTTGGGCTTTGTTTTTAAGGGGCGAGAAACCAGTGGTTGAATTTTAGTATTTACTAGGAAGGAGGTTAAACCGTCCCTTCGATGTGTGGGCAATTCACTCGCAGATTGAGCTCAACTTGAAATTTGAGCATGGTTCGAGATTTACTCAGGAGTGAACCAGTTAGTTCAAGATTCGGGATGCAGAGCAAACACCTGCTGGCACAAGGTGTGCATCTGCTACTTGTGGAGAATGACTGAACTCACTTTAGCAGAAGAGCTCCGTTCGATTCGGGGTCGGGTGGTGCACTTTCTCGTTATGTCTTTTTTCTTCCCTTCATCTCGTGTTCTCTCATTTGGGGTATGCTACCTGCATAATAGGGAAATTCCCCGAAGGCCTGACTGGGGTCTTTGAATTTTAGTTTAACCCAAGTTCAACTTGATATCGATGAGGCCAACGTTGGATGTGGGAAGGGTGTCTCTTAGTCTGAAATTGGGGGTGCAGGGCAAGCACCTGATGGCACAAGGTGTGCGTCTGCTACTCTTAGAAGGTCGTAAACCATCTTAAGCAGAAGAGCCCTGTTCGATTCGGGGTCGGGTGATTCCCTTTCCAGCGTGTTTTTTAAAATTTGGTTTCCCTCGCTCTCTTCTGGTTTCGTTGAAGGCTCGCTCACTCGCGCTGGGAATTCAAGCCCAACGATTCTGATAAATTTCGGACATAAGAAGCTGCTGGAACTGCCTGGAAGTTTACTTGATTTTATTATCAAGTAAGCTTCAACTCGGGATTCCAGAAGTGTGGCTGTTAGTCTGAGATTGGGGATGCAGAGCACGCATCCGATGGCACAAGGTGTGCGTCTGCTATTCTTGTACTGTTGCCGAAACTTATGCAGAAGTTCCCCGTTCGATTCGGGGTCGGGTGATACAGTTGGCTGTAGATTCTTTTTTTTTTCAGTTTCCCTTCCTCGGTTTCTCTTTTGTTTTGTGTGGAGAATCACTCTCGCCGGGGTTCAAATCCAATGAATCTAATATAATAGGTATGAGCTAGGAGGCTACAACTGTCAATGGATTTGTGCCCGAGTTGATTTGATTTTATTGTTGAAGGTCAAATTGACGTGAGCAACTCGGGATCGGCCACTAGTGTCTCTGTTAATCTAATATTGGGAGTGTAGAGCAAGCACCCGGTGGCACGAGGTGTGCGTCTGCTATTCTTGTGCTGTTAGTGGGAAACTATGCAGAAGTCCCCCGTTCGATTCGGGGTCGGGTGATGATTCTCTTTAATCGTCTTGGATTTTTCCTAGACTTTTCTGGTATCACCTCATAGGGAGTGCGGAGGGAGCACCTGATGGCACAAGGTGTGCGTCCGCTACTCTTTCGTGAGTATGCCGTTCAGTTTAGCAGAAGAGCCCCGTTCGATTCGGGGTCGGGTGATTCGGATTTTCCGCTGTTCTTTTTCTTCTTTCGTCCTCTCTGACTCAAATTTCGTTTTATATGCGGGAAGCGTACACTTTAGCGGGGGTGTACGTGGGTAGGGAGGGAGGGGGTACGTGGTGAGTTGCGCAGGCGTATGTAGTTTCGATAATTAATGATCCAAGGTGATCTAAGGTGACCTGGGCATGAGGTCGAGCAATGCGGCGTCCTGAAGTTGCCTCCGAGTCGTAGGGCCATCGGATACAAGCTGATAGATGTACGAAGCAGTGTGAGTCAGCGCATCTAGCCTCCAGAGACGTCAATTAACGATGGCGGAGACATGGCAGAGGGGAAGCCGCCAGTGGATCGAGCTCCAGGATGTTAACATCCGAGCGCAGGAAATTTTCCAAGACAAGTCCGAGACTTACGTGTGAAGGACTCGAATTAACGAGCGCAGGGACACGGGAGGAAGCGGAGAGATCGATGGTATATGTGGTATTGAGGGATGCAAATCACACCAGCTGGCGCCATGAATAAAGCTTTAGCGAAGAAGGGTTAGATGGTTCATTAGTGGCGTCGGCGCCGGGGTCAGGGCCGGATGCGGGATTTCCCTCGGGAGAGCAACCAGCGAACAGCGAGCAAGGCAGCGAGAAGGCAAGGGGTACCCACAAAAAAAATCTCCTACACCCACTCCTAAAAGTGACTTAAGGGTCGCTGGACCCTCCCTACCCTATTAGCCGAGTTATGTAAGCCCCAAATCGGGTAATTTTCCCAGGCAGATTGTTGAAAATCCGAATTTTGAGTCGCAATTAAGCACTCATTCATGAGCGATCTGCGCCAATGGTGGCCAGACGAACCACGCGCAAGCCGTTCCGCCATTCCAGACCTTGTTCTAGACACTCAGCTGGGCAGTGAAAAAGTCAATTTTTTTCTGACCCTTCTAAACACATTTTCAGAAGGTTCTACACAAATTCCAAAAAGTGAATTAAGAGGTCGCCGACCCACCCTACCCTATGACCCGGTGTCTCGGCATCTTCCGGCGGGTACCCCTTGCGAGAAGGGGCGACGTTGGCGGATGGTTGATGAGAAATCCAGACACCCGACGAGGCCAGAGCGGTTACAGCATGATGGGCGTTGTGGTAAAGAAAGGACGATGCGCGGGAACTAGTCTAGTCGCCAATACAAAATTTCTCCCTTCATATTGCTTGCTCGGCGCGCAGATGCATACCCAGCAGCAAACCAACAAAGACCCAAGATAAATGCATTGCAAGGGAATGCCTAAAGCGAAGAGCAGGCGGGTTACACGTGTAGCGTGGTCCTTAAACCGTGTTGCAGCAGCAAGTCAAGCTAAACTTGAATCCGCTTGAGACCCCTTTGCCTGGCCGCTTGCCTCCTGCGCTCATGGCGTCCACAGCCCGCGTCCGCCGTAAGCCCGCCCCTGCCGTCGACCCCGACGATGCCGCCCTCCTCGCTGCCATTGCAGACGACGACGGCGAGCGCATCTCGGTGCTGCCGCCGCGCCATTCGTTTGCGCTCTACGCCGCCCCGCCGCTGGACCCCGCCCCCACCGCGCACTCGGCCGCTCCGTCCCCGACGTCGTCCGCACAGCCGCACGCAGTCCTCCGCCCCGCCCTCACCCGCCCAGCGCGCCACCGACGCCGACGCGCACGCGCCTCGCACGCCTCCTCCTCCCGCACCATCCCGCCCACCGCCCACCGCCCTCGCCCACCCGCGACCGCGTGAGGAAGCACACCATCTCCGCGCCCGCGCCCGCGGCGTCCCCCCCTCCCCCCCCCCCCGCGCTCCTCCCGCCGGGCCTCGCTGCTTTGGCTCTCCCGCCGGGGCGGCCCGCTCGAGATCCACACACGCGCGCCTCCCGCTCGTCCAGCCCAGCAGCATGCACATCCCGTTTGGGGCGTTGTTGGGCATGAATGCTACGTCTCTTGCTTCTATAACGGGTGGCGAGCTCGACTCCAATGTCGATGCTGGTAACGCCCTCGATACCGAGACGGGCGGCGCGGCCACGCATACGCGCGAGTCGGGAGCAAGTATCATAGCGAGCACCAAGCGCCGCCGCACGCTCGTCGTCTTCCTGCGCCACTTCTGCAGGATATACATTCCTGTGAACAGTTTATGCAGAGGGTCCTCGTTCGATTCGAGGTCGGGTAGTGTACTCTTCGCGCACCTTTTTTCTTCCCCTCCCTCTGTTTTCTCCCTTTTCTTGGCTTACTCTCAGAATCGAGGGCGTGAGAGCACTGACTTAATTCTTATTACTTTGGAGCACGGTTAAACAGGCCCGCGCAATTCACTATAATTGAGTGCAACTTGAAATTTGATCGTAGTTCGAGGTTTGCTCCAGAAGTGCACCAGGTAGGTCAAGATTGGGGACATAGAATATACACCCGATGGCGCAAGGTGTGCGTCTGCTATGTTTGAAGTAGCTCCTGTGAAGCATTTAGCAGAAGGGCCCTGTTCGATTCGGGGTCGGGTGATTTGGCCTTAAGACTATTTTTCATTCCTTTCCGTTCGTCTCTTGGGCTCGATTTTCAGGACGCAAAATACTTGCTTCAGTATTTACGACAGTTCGGAACGAGGTTAAGAATGCTCGAACAGTGTGAGCATTTTCTATTTAGTTCAACCAAGTTCAACTTCAAATTTGATCGTGCTTCGAGATTTCTTCAGAAATGTACCAGGTAGTCCGAGATTGGGGCTGTGGAGCATGCACCCGGTGGCACAAGGTGTGCATATGACCTTATTTTTCATCAAATATTCGAGCTTCTGGTGGGAAGTTGTAGTCAGAAGTTAGCTTATATAATGAACATGTGCTTCGTATCGGAACTTTATGCCCGAACTTACCGACCTTGCCTCTGTCCCAGGTTTTGGCCGGTCAATAGCTCTCAGTTGGTTGAGAGAAGCTTGTGGTTGACCTTTGGTTGACCAGTGGTCAGGCCAAACTACCCAGTGGTCGGCCAGTGGTCGACCTTTGGTTTCCATTCATTTACTCTTCCCATGGTTCGCTTGGGTCCACCATTGGTCGACAGCATCGGAGAGACAGCAAACTGGTTGCTTACAACCAGCCTATGTGCTATAATATATATACGACCCCCATTGCTCAGATCTCCCCTCTGTTCCTTTTTTGCTCTCTGCTCGTGCCTTTGCCTCGTCCATACCCTCCTCGCTATCTACAACCAGTCGCTGTAAGCAGTTCTCCTTTTCGGTCGCTTGTGGATTACTAATATATGCCCTCATATTCCTTTAGGCCTTTTCTCAGGTCTGCTTTTGGCATATCTCTAATTTGTACGTGCAGATAATCCAAGATATGGGCTTTGATAGGCCTCAGAAAATCTAAGCTCTACATCATTTAAAAAGCCGTGCAAGGTGTTCAATTCAGGATGAAAGATGGGACATATTGATGCCCCCAACACCCTGTATTGAAACATGTGAATGCCTGCCTTTGGCATGTCTGATTTGTAGTACGTGCAGGTGGCTCGCAAAGATATGGCTTTGAGGAGTGAATCTTGCCAAATATAGCTCTCTGGGGAAATATAATATATAAACAATGCGAAAAGCTCCCAGACCACAGGTGGATTTTGTAGACCATCAACCAGTTATGCCCAAACCACGGGTGATCTGTTGAAAACCACCAGCATTACTAAAAAACTACAGGCAAACAAGTTCCGAACTAAAAGTAACACAGATCAAAGCTCAGGTTCAGCTGTCCTGAACTTCAGTGTGAAGTTCAACTTCCAACTTGGCTGATGATGTTCGGGAATGTTCGGGCTGATGCTTCAAGCTTACACAAATGTTCCGACACGCTGTAAATGTATGCCAGGATGTACAATCTGGAACCTCATCTGGTATGAAACTCGAATATTTGATGAAAAATGAGTTTATATGTGCACCTGCTACTCTTTCGAAAATTTGATTCAAAGTTAGGCAGAAGGGTCCTGTTCGATTCGGTTATGGTTTTGTTGTTCTTTTTCTTAACTTTTTTCCTAAGTCTCTTGGCTTGTATTCGGGCCGTAGAGCGTGCGAGCGGTGATTCAATTGTTGTATTTACTATTTTGAAGCACGGTTAAACAGACCCGGGCAGTTCACTCGATTGAGTTCAGCATGACATTTTGATCGTGCTTCGAGAGTTATTCGAATTCAGAAGTGCACCTATTAGTCTGAGATTGGAGATGGAGAGCATGTACCTGATGGCACAAGGTGTGCATCTGCAGCATATATACGAGTTATGGTCAACGTTATGCAGAAGGGCCCCGGGGTCGGGTGATTTAGCCTCAGGATTTTTTTCTTCTTTTCTCTCTTGGGCTTGGTTTTCAGGACGTAACATCGGCGACTCCCTAATTATCACTACAAGTCGGAACAAGCTCACAGTGTGTGAGCATTAATATTTTTAGTTCAGTCGAAGTTCAACCGAAGAATTTGAGGTTTACTCCTTAGGGAGTAATGGTTAGTCTGAGACTCGGGGCATCAGGCAAGCACTCGGTGGCACAAAGTGGTGTGCGTCTGCAAGTCTTAAATTGGGACGAATAGTTATGCAGAAGGGCCGCGTTCGATTCGGGGTCGAGTGATGGTCCTGCGATCGCGTTTTTTTCTTTTCTTTTTCACGCTCGGTTTCTCTTCTGCTTTCAGTGACGACTCGCTTTCGCTGGGAATTTAAAAATACAGCTGCTAAATAATAGAGGAGCTAAGAGCGTCGCAGCGAGTCGTGGATTTGTGGCCAGAGTTGATTTCATTTTATTTTATTCTTGAAGGTCAAATTGACCTGTGCAACTGGGAATCAGCCACAGGTGTCTCTGTTAGTCCGAGATTGGGGATGCAGAGCAGGCACCTGATGGCACAAGGTGTGCGTCTGCTACGCTTGAAGCAGCTTCGAAGCATTTAGCAGAAGGGCCCTGTTTGATTCGGGGTCGGGTGATATGTTCGTAATGTTCCTTTTTTTTCGTGTTCACCTTTCCATTCGTCTCTTGGGCTTGGTTTTCAGGACGCAAAATCGGCGACTCCCTTACTCGGAACGAGGTCAAGAATGCCTTAACAATGTGTGGGCATTTTCAGTTCAATCGAAGTTCAACTTGACTTTGATGAAGCCAACTTGAGTACTCAGAAGTGCACCAGGTAGTCCGAGATTGGGGCCACAGAGCATGTACCTGATGGCACAAGGTTTGCATCTGCGAGTTATAGATGAACTATAAAGCTAGGCAGAAGATTCTCGTTCGATTCGGGGTTGGGTAATTTAGCTTCGGGATTATTTTCCCCTTCTTTTCCGTTCGTCTCTTGGGCTTTGTTTTCAAGGGGCGAGAAGTCAGATTCAATTCCAGTATACAGCTCGAACGGGTTAAACTGTCCCTTCGATGTGTGGGCAATTCACTCGCAGATTGAGTTCAACTTGAAATCTAATCGTGCTTCGAGTTTCATTCAGAAGTGCACCAGGTAGTCTGAGATTGGGAGTGCAGAGCATGCACCTGATGGCACAAGGTGTGCGTCTGCATGCCTTTCGAATTGAGAAACCTTGGATTTCTGCAGAAGGGCCGTTCGACTCGGGTGATCTTGAAGACGTCCTTTTTCCTTTTCGCTCTCGCTCTCCCTCGACTTTTCTTTTGCTTTCACCAGTTCACCTCACCTCTCGCTGGGAATTCAATTCGATGATTCTAGTATATTTGGGACGACATAAGAGCCTACTGGAAGTTTACTTATTTTATTATCAAGTTCAAGGTCAAATTGACGTGAGCAACTCGGGAGTAGCCACAGATGTCTCTGTTAGTCCGAGATTGAGGTATATAGAAAGCACCCGATAGCAAAAAGTGTGCATCTGCATGATGTTAAGAGATGCTAAACAATTTACGCAGAAGGGTCCCGTTCGATTCGGGGTCGGGTGATATATTCGTAATTTTGCTTTTTTTCGTGTTCACCTTTCCATTCTCTTGGACTTGGTTTTCAGGACGCAAAATCGGCGAGGAACGAGGTCAAGACTCGAACAGTGTGAGCATTTTTAATTTAGTTCAACCAAATTCAACTTTAAATCTGATCGTGCTTCAAGATTTACTCAGAAGTGCACAGTTTAGTTTAAGACTGGGACTGCAGGGCAAGCACCCGATGGCACAAGGTGTGTATCTGCAGAATTTGGGTTTCCGCAGGCTAGGCAGAAGGTCCCTGTTCGATTCCGGGTCGGGTGATTCCCTTTCCAGTGTTTTTTTTTTTTTTTTAGTTTCCCTCACTCTCTTTTGGTTTCGTTGAAGGCTCGCTCACTCACGCTGGGAATTCAAGCCCAACGATTCTGATAAATTTCGGACATAAGAGGCTGCTGGAACTGCCTGGAAGTAGGCTCGCTTCAGCCTCTCTAGTATATCTTGCGTGATATCTGAAGATAGTCGTTCAGATCACGTATACTATAGACCTGGAAGTTTACTTGATTTTATTATCAAGTTCATCAAGTAAGCTTCAACTCGGGACTTCAGAAGTGTGTCTCTTAGTCTGAGATTGGGAGTGCAGACCAAGCACCCGATAGCACAAGGTGTGCGTCTGCTACTCTTGAGTAAATGTGTCTGCAGTCTACGCAGAAGTTCCCCGTTCGATTCGGGGTCGGGTGATCCGTGTCAATTGCCGCACCTTTTTTTAAAGTTTCCTTCCTCGGTTTCTCTTTTGCTTTCACTTGGAATTCATCTTCGCTGGCGATTTAAATCCAATTCTAAATAATGGAGGAGCTAAGAGCCTAGAAGCGAGTCGTGGATTTGAATTTTTTCCAACTTCAAGATCTCGGAATGGTTGTCTTGGTATGAGATTGGGGATGCAGAGCAAGCACCTGATGGCATAAGGTGTGCGTCTGCAGGATGTAGCACAAATGACGGAGTACTTATGCAGAAGTTCCCCGTTCGATTCGGGGTCGGGTGATATGTTGACACATATTGAGTTTTTTGTTCGTCTCTTATTTACTGTAAAATTTGATTTTATCGGTAGGTTAGGAAGCGTAGGTGGCCATCGGCGGTGCATTAACGGGGGTGTATATAAGTGGGGTAGGAGTTGCGCAGTCGTAGGATGAATAATTGATATTAATATTGATAATCAAGGATCTAAGATGACCTGGGCATATGAAGCCGAGCAATGCGGCGCATTTTGCCTGACGGAGATGGCTGGACGGAGGTGCAGTAGAAGTAGCAACAGAGCGATAATTAATTGGAGGGTCAGACACGTCTGACTTGAGAGCTGAATTACCAGATACGAGAGGAATTAAGATGCTCGCGGGTAGAGTCGCCATTAGTTCAGTAACTGGGTGGGCTCGTTATAAACGACGCCGGGACCATACCGAGGGAATGAGTTGGATTCATATCAGCTCAACGAGTCGGGCATGTGAGTTGCGAGATCAAGAAGAAGGCTCAGTCGGGGGGATATAACCTGGAGGTACTTGAATTAATGTGGGCAAAGTCAAGGGAAGAATCAGAACAGAGGCAAAAGGTAGATATGGTTATCAGGCAGCCGACCAGCGACGCCAGCGGCTCGGGCGATATCCACAGGCTAGTGGACCACAGCGGAATAAGCAAAGGTGGTTATATGCTTCATTAGTGGCACCGGGGGCAGGACCGGATGCGGGATTTCTCTCGGGAGAGCGAGCAAGGCAGCGAGCGGCGGCGACGCTGGCAGATAGATGATGAGACTAGCGAATCCAGGGGCGTCCGATGAGGCCAGTGGGGGTTGGAGGACGATGGGCGTTGTGGTGAAGAAGAACTAGAGGGCGGGGACCAGTCTAGTCGCCGATGCAAAACCTCTCCCTTCCGCGACACTATTGCTCAACGCAGCGGCAGTGACTCAGAAAAGAGCAAGGGAATCTGCGGGATTTGTATGGGTAAAGGAAGGAGGGCGGCTGACACGTGTGGCCTGGTCCTTAAACCGCGTTGCAGCACCAAGTCAAACCGAACTTGGAATCCACTTGACGCCCCTTTGCCTCGCTGCTTGCCTCCAGCGCTCATGGCGTCCACAGCCCGCGTCCGCCGCAAGCCCGCCCCCGCCGTCGACCCCGACGACGCCGCCCTCCTCGCCGCCGTCGCGGACGACGACGGCGAGCGCATCGCGGCGCTGCCGCCGCGCCGCTCGTTTGCGCTCTACGCCGCCCCGCCGCTCGACCCCACGCCTCCCGCGTACTCGCCCGCCCCGTCTCCGACGTCGAGCGCACACCCGCACTGCATCCGCCGCCGCGCGCAGTCCCCGCGACACCGCCGCCCACGCCGACGCGCACGCGCCTCGCGCGCCTCCTCCTCCCGCAACGCCCACCCCCCGCCGTCGCCCACCCGTGAGCGCGTGAGGAAACACGGTCTCCGCGCCCGCGCCCGCCGCGTTCCCGCCTGCGCTCCTCCCGCCCGGCCTCGCGGCGCTGTCGTTGCCGCCGGGCGGCCCGTGGCGCTGCGCTCCCTCGAGCTCGCCGTGGACGTGGACGGCCCGCCCGTAATGGAAGGGTGTAGCTCGGCGTCGAGCGCCTCTTCGCGCGCGTCGGGAGACGGACGTGACGTCCCCGCCTCTGTCCTCTGCCGCGCCCAAGATTGCCACGGCGAAGACTAGCACCGCCAAGCCCCAGCCCCTCCCCCCGCTCGCGCTCCCCATGCGCGCCGCCCTCGCGCGCGCGGCACGCCTCCCGCTCGTCCAGCCCAGCGGCGTCCGCGTCCCGTTTGGGGCGTTGTTGGGCATGAGCGCTGCTGCTCTCGCCGCTCCTGGTGCGGGTGGGGACGCCGACGCCGATGTGGGTAACGCCCTCGACACGGAGGCCGGCGAGTCGGGTGGGTGGTCGAGTATACGCGCGAGTCGGTCCCTTCCTCGGTTTCTCTTTCGTTTTTCAGTCGAGATTTATTTTTGCCGGATTCAAATCCAAGGAGTCTGATAGATTTCGGCCGAGCGAAGAGGCTACCCAGTGTTAATTTGTGGGTGCAGCTGATTTGATTCCTCACAACTTTGAAGCCAGATCGGGATCTCGGAAAGTGTGTCTTAGTTTTAGATTCGGAATGCCAGGCAAACACCCGATGGCACATGGTGTGCGTCTGCTACCCTTCGAATATCTCTGTAGACTTGATTTTCAGGACGCAAAATGCTTGCTTCAGTATTTACTACAGCTCGCAACGATTAAGAACGCTTCAACAGTGTGAGAGCGGTTTTTGTTTTTCAGTTTGACTGAACATTGATGAAGTCAACTTGAGATCTCGCAGTGTGTGTCTTAGTCTGAGATTAGGGATGCAGAGCATGTGCCTGATGGTACGAGGTGTGCGTCTGCTATTAGTATATTATTGCTCACTAGTTACGCAGACGACCCCCGTTCGATCCGGGGTCGGGTGTTCATTGGGTTTCTTGGCTTTTTCTTAACTTTTTCCCTAGGTCTCTTGGCTTGCTTTCAGACCCTAGAGCGTGCGAGCGGGGATTCAATTGCTGTATTTACTATTTTGGAGCACGGTTAAACAGACCCGGGCAGTTCATTCGATTTGAGTTCAGCTTGACATTTTGATCGTACTTCGAGAGTTATTTGAATTCAGAAGTGCACCTATTGGTATGAGATTGGAGATGGAGAGCATGTACCTGATGGCACAAGGTGTGCATCTGCAGCATATATACGAGTTATGGTCAACGTTATGCAGAAGGGCCCCGGGGTCGGATGATTTAGCCTCAGGATTTTTTTCTTCTTTTCTCTCTTGGGCTTGGTTTTCAGGACGTAACATCGGCGACTCCCTGATTATAACATCAGCGACTCCCTAATTATAATTACAAGTCGGAACAAGCTCACAGTGTGTGAGCATTAATATTTTTAGTTCAGTCGAAGTTCAACCGAAGAATTTGAGGTTTACTCCTTAGGGAGTAATGGTTAGTCTGAGACTCGGGGCATCAGGCAAGCACTCGGTGGCACAAAGTGGTGTGCGTCTGCAAGTCTTAAATTGGGACGAATAGTTATGCAGAAGGGCCTCGTTCAATTCGGGGTCGAGTGATGGTCCTGCGATCGCGTTTTTTTCTTTCTTTTTCACGCTCGGTTTCTCTTCTGCTTTCAGTGACGACTCGCTTTCGCTGGGAATTTAACATACAGCTGCTAAATAATAGAGGAGCTAAGAGGGTCGCAGCGAGTCGTGGATTTGTGGCCAGAGTTGATTTCATTTTATTTTATTGTTGAAGGTCAAATTGACCTGAGCAACTCGGGATCGGCCACAGGTGTCTCTGTTAGTCCGAGATTGGGGGTGCAGAGCAGGCACCTGATGGCACAAGGTGTGCGTCTGCTATTCTTGTACTGTTGCTGAAATTTATGCAGAAGACCCCCGTTCGATTCGGGGTCGGGTGATTTCTTTTCCTCGTTGCTGTTTCTTTTTTTCTCCTTCTTTCCACCCCTTCATCTCCTGTCCTCTCATTTAGGGTATGGATTTTGTGTTCAATCTTATACTGAGAAACCTTTTCGAAGGCCTGACTGGGGTCTTTGAATATATGGGCATTCTAGTCGACCAAAGTTCAACTTGACATTCAACTTGAAGGATAAAGCCAACTCAGGATCTCGGAGATCTGTTAGTTTCAGATGGCACTTCGGGCTACCCCCCTGACCCACCAGTTAGGGTAGATTTTTATCAGTACTAAACTACCCTGAGAGGTCATTTTTCTGAGTGCATGTCCCATTGTCTGGGGGGGGGCGCCGCAGGCGCGCAAAAAATTGCCTTTTTGGGAAGGTGTGGGACATCCCACTCGGCCGCAGGCCGAACGGAAAAATTGCCTGTTTGGGCCTTAAAAGTAGCCATATGGGATGTCCCATTCCCATTTGAAAAAAATGTTTTTTGCAGCTGCACGGTGCACCAGCAGTCCTGCTCATAGCTGGCCATGGTTGTCACCTCCTACTGGATGGCAGGGGCGAACGGTGGGTGCGCGTACCGTCGGCTGAAACAAATGTTAGCCGCAGGGACGAACGGTGGGTGCGCGTACCGTCGGCTGAAACAAATGTTAACTGCAGGGACGAACAGTGGGTGCGCATACCGTCGGCTGAAACAAATGTTAGCCGCAGGGGCAAAAGGTGGCCCACGTTCGCTGGCTGTACACTCACGTCTCTGTGCGACCAACTGGGGCATGTAAACAAAAGGGACATCCCAGATGGGGTGGGACCTCCCTCCTTGTACGTGTGGGACGTCCCATTGATGCCAGGGACGTCCCAGTTGGTCATGTAAACAAAGGGGACGTCCCAGATGGGGTGGGACCTCCCTCCTTGTACGCGTGGGACGTCCCATTGATGCCAGGGACGTCCCCAGGAGCTGGGATATCCCACTTCAATCGGGTGGGACGTCCCTGCGTGTACATTGCAGGGTGGGACATCCCACTCAAATTTCCCTGGGACATCCCATCTTGCTTCCTGTAGATGGGACATCCCACCCGATCAGCCATCACGCAAGGGATGTCCCACCATCCATGGCGCACTTGTGGGATGTCCCACGCAGGATGTCGTTGATCAGAGGGACTTCCCTCCCCTGCTAGTATTAGTGGGACGTCCCACCTTATTTTTTTAGTGGACCTGTGGGATGTCCCAATTTTAATTCGAACATTATTGTTTCCTTAGTCCAGCAATTAAAGAATTAGTTGCAACAGGTCATTGGAT